TTAAACTTTTTTTTTTTTTTTCCCAGTAAAGACTATTTTGTATTTTGATTTGAAATTAGGAACTTGGCAATAAGTTTTGACAAGTCATGAGCTGGGAGAGGGCCGCACAGAAGAGGTAGAAAGGGGAGAAAGGGGCGGAAGTAGAAGGAAAAGCAGAGAGGAGCATGAGGCTGGTGGCAGAGGGCCAGAGGAGCTGGTGAGGACTGAGACCTGCCACAAACAGTCCTCTCTTTTCTGTTCTCTGCCATAGCCTAATATATCCCTTAAGCATATTTGTTCCATGGTGCTTTTTAACTGGATCTAAATGAGTTCTTATTTGGGGAAATGATGTTCTTTCACAGATGCAGTGCCAAAGGCTGTCAAAAATAAAGAAAGAACGTACATCAGGACAATTTCTTTTCCTGTCGTGGTAGTTTAAAATAACTGTCTCAGCAAACTTACGGATAAGTTAAAATTTTAAATGTTTCATTGTTAAATTTTTTGTGAAAGCAACAAATGCACTTTTTATTCTTTTTATATGACAAGGCACGGGAATGTGTCTTTTGTGCTAACTGTGCATTTTCCACACTATGAATGAACTGGTTTAGGGTATAGTGTGGAACTATGTTAATAAGTGTCCTAACACTTGAAAGACTGTGCCTACCTAAATAATCACAGTATTAATCAGTGAAAAACAAGAAAATACATAGAGCTGACATAGAGGATTCTTGATGAATCTGGGCCAAATCAGACTATGTAGAAGGCTTCTAAGAGAGACCATCAGATCTTACCAAATGTTTGACAGAGATAGAGAAAGAGAGAATTAAACATCACTTTTTATCTGTCCTCTAAGATAACACTATTTACCCATCTGTGGGTCTGAGGAATACTTTCATAGCCATTTAACTGAAAAGTAGCTTCTGTGGAAGAGGTTATAACCCTTTTGACAGCTCTTTGTCCTTGCCACTGTAGTCAGTAGCTTCTGGATTATTTAGGAAAAATGCCAGCAGGAATCAAAAGCCTTCATATTGCCCTTCAGGTGTGCATACTTGCTTTCCCCACAGGTTTAGTAGACCTCGTAGTTTACACTCCATTCCAGGTGACTCTGAGGGTATGTGATGGTGGGCGTGAATGACACAGGAGGAAAATCATTTGTTGTTTTAGTGTTCACATAAATTGTGTATAATTCACGATGCTTTCCTGCTTTATGAATCATTGGAATAGGATGTAAGTGGGCACTTAGGATATTTCATCTACTCTTTTCCTTTTTTCTTTTTCTTCATCTTGTTTTTTGGCTCACAACCTAACCCTCAAATCAAAATATGTGTGCCACCACCACAGTTGGATGCTTACTTGCCTGCTTTCAGTCAGGAGAAAGGATCCTTGGGTGCTCTGGCTTATTCAGTACCCATCTCCAGTCCTCCTCAAGTTTCCCATTGACCTGGGCTCTTTGTGCCTCTGGTCCAGTTAGCTCAGTTTCACCTAAAAATCCGTTAACTTCAGACCATTCATGGACTTACCGCTAATTTGTATGTATTCCATTCTCTTAGTTCCCTTTTTGACTCTCTTTTACCTGTTTTGAAAGTGTTCTCATCACATGCCGGGACAGAGAAAGGTAGATAGAGTGAAAGTAAACCATAGTTCATTTGTTTGTTTTTTATCACTGCTGAGAAAGCACATATAGATTGTTGTATTTATTTAAAATGTCTTGATTTAGTGTATTATGGAGTGTAAAAGGAATGCAGAATTCTCAAATGCATGAAATAAAAGAATTGCTTATAGGTCTCTCCGATCAAATTCCTTTTTTCTCATTGTTATAAGGGGTTAAGAGATGACTGTGTTTCTTTTTTTGATATAAAATTTTCACCAAATTATGTAAGAAGGCATTTAGGCTTTTTAGCCATTTCTACTATTCTCTACATTTAAATTAATATGAAATTTCCTCAGAGGTTTTCCAGCAATCATCAAAATAAACCATTAATAACAGTAAGTAAAGCCATATTTTAGTTTATAAATATATTTAAATTTCTCTAGCCTTTTTTTTAAAAAGATTTTATTATTAATTATTTGAGAGAGAGAGTGGGGGTGGGGGTAGGAACAGAGAGAGAGGGAGAGGGAGAAGCAGACTCTGTGCTGAGCATTGAGCCCGACATGGGGCTGGATCCCAGGACCCTGAGATCACGACCTGAGCAGAAACCAAGAGTCAGAAGCTTAACCGACTGAGCCACCCAGGCGCCCCAGATTTCTCTAGCCTTTTATTGTGCAACTGGGAGAGATGTCTTTAGTGTATAAATACTTTCGATTTTAGCACAAAAGTTAAGAAAAATGTCACTTATCCTTCAGATTTGAAGCACAAAAAAAAAAAATTATTAAATAATTCAGATATGGAAGCAACTGCATATTGCAAACACACCTATAATAATACCTATGGTGGTTATTAATTTTTAAATGTGAATCAGGGGGAAAAGGATAGTGTTTCATCATTGGGTTTTGGCATTTTTTGGTCGGTTATTTTTAAAAAATGGTATGTAGACTCTTTATTTACATATTGGTTACAGAGATATTTTTAGGGCTGCATGTGACTTAAGCAACATTTTGGCTGGAGTTGCAAAAAAGGCGAGTATTTTCCTTAAATAGGAGGTGTTTATCAAATGCCTATATGGCAAAATTGAAGCGCTTGAGGCTTTGCTTTGGTCTTTGAATCTTCTAGTTTTAACATCAACTTGTTGCTGTGTTACTAAACACGGTTGTTGTGAACATATATCAGAAATATTTCAGCAGATAAAAACAAGATTAAAACTCTTGGATAAAATAGTCCATTTATGATACCAATTCATAACTAGAAAAAAAATGAACACATATACTTAGTATAGAACATTTCAACCCTGCATTTCATTAAAACCCTCAAGTCTTCTTAGCGTGAACTATATGACTAGGATTTTATATCCATTCTCCCTATTCTTCTCTGACAGACAAAGTGAGAGCATTATGAAAAATATGTTAAAATAAAAAGCATTCCATCAGGGTGGGGGCAAAGATTTAGGTAACATTTAAATAAAATCCTTTCTGTAGTGGGTAAGACACCATGTTAAAAGAATGATCCACAAATGAGCAAGTAACAAGTTGTCCAGCTGAGCTAATTGGCAGACTTGGGCAAAGATGGCTGTATTTGAAAGAACAAGTGCTGCCTTTGGTTTGTGAGGTAGTGACAGACTTCCTGCAGTAGGTTCTCTTCTTCTTGAGAGGAAATTAATTTCCTGAAATCAAATGCTGTGGATTATAGTCTTTGTCTCCTTCCACCTTGGCCACAGAAGCAACAACAAGGCTTTTTATTCAGCAACATTACATGGGCTTTTGTAAAATCAGCAGTGACATATTCAGCATAGAAAGGTTTCACCTGATACATTTTGCGGCTCCAGAACACAGCATATTGCTGCTTTGAGCCTGAGAGCTGTTACTTTGTCAGTGACTCTATGTGTAAGGCTTTATTTGGGGAAGGAAAGGAAAATGACAGCAAGAGACCCCCGCCATGATGCAGAAGAAATCTTGGTGATGTTTGAAAAAGGGATGACAAAGCAGGTAAATGACTACCAGTATTTAATAGGAACTTTTGTAGAAATATTAAAAAAAAGAGCTACTAAATGATGTTTAATAGTAGTAAAAAAGCCAATTTCAGTCTTCTTGAACTGTTCACTTTCTGTATAAACACACATCCCGTTTATATACACATACCCATATGTCTGATATATACATACAACCTTGAGATTCTTTTAATTCATTCTGCATAATTTACAAAAAATAATATTTTGAAAATTACAGCATTTTTAATTCACTGCATCTGAAAAAGAACCTTTCTCTATAAGACCAAGGAGAGGACAGAGATTCAGAGAAAGAAAACACAACCCCCAGAGAAGAATGACCCGAGGGTCAGAGATAGGACAGATTTTTATCTCTGTACAGTTCCTATTCTTTAAAAATTTTTCAAAAAAAAATTTTATTGTGTAGAGTAAAAAAGCTGCTCCCCACCCCACAACCCCCGTTCACAAATTAAATCCCAGGACTTTTTCCTCTCCGTCATTAATTTCAGTGCCTGACTATGCTCTGGAGAAGACATTAGTGAACCCTCTAACCCATTTCTTGTATCCATGGAAGAACGTTCTTTATGCTTTGGAAAGACTGAAGGATAATTTTGCCAGTTGAAGAAAAGTAGGCTAGCGAGTCCTTTATTCATTATTATCTATTAAGTACTGAATTTTGACCCATACCCGATTTAGATAGTCTGTAAAATTGAGAAAAAATATTTTCCTACTTCATCCTCCCAAATTTAGTTTTGGTGGTCACTCAACCACTGCTAATGAATGAGTGATACATAGACACTTATATGAGTAAATAAACCTCCAAAAGAAAAGGATTTAGTTTTGTTTTAGTTTGTAAAGATGAAAGTAAAATCACGCTTTTACAAACATGCATGAGAAGTCTATTCAAAATGCCTGGATTATCCTGTTTTTCAGTACTATATTCATTACTGTATGAGACAATACAATTTCTAAAGTAATACTGAATTTAGCTATCATAATTCACAGTCTAGAGTTAGCCCTAAGTGTTCCGTGTGAACATCACTTTGATTGCTAAATTAATACCCTCTGACATTATAAGGTAGTGTCGTTACGATTTTATTTACCATGTCGGGTTTATGAATTTTCACCTGACACATCGACATGGCCCTTAAGAGCTACATGAAGCTTACTTGGGGCCACACTTACAAAATCTTGTTAACAAAACTGATCTGTGGTAAAGAAAAGATGGCAACTAATCTCTCCCCAAGCGCTTTGATGCATAGTCCCTAGTTTTTAGTGACCACGAGGCATAGGGATTGCTACATTTAGCAGCAGTAGACTTTTCCTAAGGCAGTAGGTGTTATGCCATTAGGCATGGAAATAGATGGTGAGTGTTACTCTAGCTCTCGGGCGTTCCGTGAACTCAGTAATCACGCGCTGTTTTTCTCACCCTCTTTCCCGCAGCTAACCCAACCCGAGCAGGCGGGAGAGAGCCCTACCCAGGCTCAGCGGAAGTGATTCGGGAGTCCAGCAGCACCACGGGCATGGTGGTGGGGATAGTCGCGGCTGCTGCCCTGTGCATCCTCATCCTCCTCTACGCCATGTACAAGTACAGAAACCGGGATGAAGGCTCATACCATGTGGACGAGAGTCGAAACTACATCAGTAACTCAGCACAGTCCAATGGGGCTGTCGTAAAGGAGAAACAACCCAGCAGTGCGAAAAGCGCCAACAAAAATAAGAAAAACAAGGATAAAGAGTATTACGTCTGATCCCAGGATCTCAAAAAGACCCTTGTATAGAGATAGTCTTCATTTTATCTGAGACATAATATAAACTTATTTCCTTTCCTTTTTACGAAGCACATACAAAAGAAGACAGGGAATGCAATCAGGAAGGAAAGACTGTTTTTAAAAAATAAAAACAAGTATCTCATGCTCTTGTTTCTCCAAAAAAAGAAAGAAAAAAACAAAACAGGGGCCAATAAATTCCCTAACATCCACAGTGTTTTCATTTACTCTGCCTGTCTTTATGTTGCTGGAACACTCCTAAAAGACAGTGATGACCGCACGCATTCATAAAGCAAAGGAGTATTACATCATCAAGGCACAACACTAAAACAACACAACACACACCACAAAAAAAAAAAAAAAAAAAAAAAAAAAAAAAAAGAAGCTACCTATGATCCTGGATTTAGCCAAAGTGCTAGCGCTTTCCTGAGAAGTCAGTTAGTCCGATTGCCAGAGAAGACTGTGTCATTTTGAATGACCCAACCTGCAAACCTTTGGGTTTGCCACCTGGTGCAACTGGAGCGGTGGTTGGAACTTGCATTTGAAAACAAAGTGCTGGCTTTTTTGAAGACTTGTGTAGGAACACATTCAAAAAGCCCCTTTCTGGTTGTGAGGAAAAAAAAAAAGTATGGAAGCCTTATTTTCAACAATGTGAAATATAAGGCACATTTTCACACTAAAATCTCAAAACAAACAAACAGAAAAAACCAAGAGGGCATAGATGCAATCATTGGGAAATTTTCATGCACGCTTAATATGTTATTACATATGTTTATATAAAATCCATCTCTGTGTGCTTTCTGGACTGTGATAAGTGACGTTTTATAGCCTGTTGTATAGAAAATGCAAAATATATCTCTGCTCTTCAGCCATTTTTGGTAAATTCAATGTTTTAAGTGTTGCTAAGTATAGGGAGTTTTATGACATCAGAGCAACAATTATTTCAGGGTTGTTTTGTTTTATTGCCACCATTATAAATTGCCACAATTACTTTTTTTAAAAAAAAATTACAATGTAGTGTTTATTCTAAGGAAGATATGTATGAATGTATATAAAAAGACTCAGCTACTTTTTTTTCCTAACATGTACAGCCTTCATTCTGTTGCAATTAAGTTTTAGTACTTGTATGAAAGGTGTGAATTAGAAGGTAAAATATATACATATGTATCTTATAATCTTTTCTCTCCCCAATATTCACATTTTCCACATACTTTCATCATTTACAATCACACACACACACACACACACACACACACACACCAATCCAGAGGAATCCATCAGATATGATGGAAAACCCGAGCATATATATATAACAGCAAATGTTTACTGACAAATTGAAAAGCAGGAAGGAAGGAAGATAGTTGTGCCAAGGTATTGATGACAAATGGGGTGATTTGCTTCATTGAGATCATGCTCCCAGGAAACCCTGAGAATATTTTAGTCCCTAATGAAATGGAACCTTTTCTTATCAAATAGAATATCAATGGTATATTGCTGCATGAATATGAACCATTATGTGGGGGAGGTTACAGAAGCAAAATTGGTTAATCTATACCTTAACCCTGGCTGCTGCAATTAAAAACTTTGTTTCCAATAAAAAAAAATATATATATATTTAGTATCCCTGAACCTGATGTGCATGATAAACACTTTGGAAAGTAAACATTTTCTCAACTAAGAAAGTATTTTCAGTAATTTTGATTCTGTATTACTATCCATCTAAAAAAATCATTCTCTATTTGTTGATTATTGTCCATATTTTAACTTTTCTGGTTTTACATATATATCATTAAATATAGTTTTAGTTTAATACACATTAAGTAATAGAAAAGTATAGATTATACACTTGTTTTTGCATATTGTTTCAACGATGTTCATAGCAATAAATTATTAATATGAGCAGGCAATGCAAAGGAAATGCATTATTAGATTGGAAGATGATGCCTCAGTGAAAATTGGTCACATTACTTTAACCCATCCTAAAAGAATGATACTGGATTGCATAAAAGAGAATACCTTTACAATTAGCTTTAATCAGCAAAGGCAAAAAATGCAAAACAGCTTTTGTGATACTTAAGATGATGAAAAAAGCCAAGAAGTGGCCTGGATTTCAGACATACAGCACCTTAGAAATAAGTATAATTCATAGCGAATCACCACTGTCAATGGTTGCCAAGTAATTGTGGTGTGTGAAAACTCTTAAAGGCTTTTCCTGACCCAGAAAGTAGAGGTTTAAAACTAAAATTTAGTATCCATAACTTGTGTTTCAGATTTTCTTCTTTTTTTTAATTTGCTAGCTTAAAGAATTCATGTCTTTTTTTTTTTTCTCTTGTTCAGTCTTACTCAGGGAAAGCCAGTGAAATAAGAAGGTAAATATAAAACCACTAATTTACATCTTGAGGTTTTAAAAAGAAATGGTTGCTTTTCCATATGATCTACTGAACTCGAACTAGTTTCCATCTGGAAAGAGTCTAAAAAATGATGAAATAAATAATGGTATTTTTAAGCAGTATATCTATGAAGCATGTTGTTTGGGATTGATTTCATTGTTTCTTTCCAGCATAAATTTTAAAATTTCATGCAATGATATAATCTAATATTATCAGTAAAAATACTTCTAATGTTATTGGCCTACACAAAATCTAGCAATTTTTTTCTTTTTTTCTTCTTCCTTTTTGAATGGAGAAAGAAAAGAGAGGAACATGAGCTAGAGAGAAAAAAAAGACATGAATAAGATCCCAAGTATCTTCATACCAAATGTATCAGGGTTCCATGAATAGTTTGCAGTTAACAGGATTTGACACTACCTGGCATAAATTTAATTACATCTCTAGACTGTAACTTTTCTGACTGAGTATGCTTCTTTTTTATCCATGTAATGTGTTGCCTTTAAAAAAAAATACTACAATAATGTGTGAGGTGGTCAATCCCTAAGACATCAAAAAAAGACCACATGACCCTACCCTTCTAGTGCTTTGTGTGATTGGGTATCTAAGGGTTTTGTTTTGTTTTTTTTTCTGTTGCAAGGCCAATTTATCCATTATTGGAAATGCTAAGCAAGTGGAATTTACTGTTTTGTTAATAAAATATTTCTTAATACAACTGTGGATTTATTGATTTTAAGAAAATATATGCGGCACCATTTTGGGACAAAGTGGCCCAGTAAGGAAGACTGAACTTGAAAGGAAAACCTGCCCTTTAGACAAGCAGGATAAGAATACCACCTCTATTTTTCTGGGTTTTAATATTCATTAAGCACATCTACATTCATAGACTTAAAGATACAGCCATGGAATGTACCTTTGTTTACATCTGTTCATCTTGCTCTCCAGGAAACTGCAAACTCATAAAAAGTAGTTAAAAACAACAGGAAGATGCTGATTTCATACATATGATTTTCTCTATGAAAAGCAGTATAATTCAAGTAAATATGTGATTAAATTCCAATACTATCATTTACTAGCTCCAAGTTACCTAATTCCTCTCACTTTTCTCATTAGTAAATTAAGGATAATACCAACCTCATAGGGTAGTAAGGATAATGAGAACTAACGTGCCTTGCACAACTAAGTGCAAAGAAAAGGTGGCTACTTGTGTACTATTAGTTTCCATAAGATTAATGAATTCAAGAAAACATGTCAAAATGTTTGCTCAGGTTGTGCTTTTTGAAAAATAAAAATGCAAAAGACAAGTGTGTAAAGGAATATACTTTTTCATCTCTCACAATTTTTTTTTTCTGCAAAAGCAAAGTCACTGTGGAAATGAGATGACCCATCAGTTACTTTCTGTAAGTTTCAGTCCCACAGTTGGCAACTGATTTAAAACTCTGGCCTTTGAGAATAATCTGATAGAAAAGCATGAGTTCAGTCTTTTTCTCCTTTTTCACAGGAAAAGGTTTGAGCATGAGTGCTTAATCCATTTTATACCTACCTTGTTCTAGACACGTGTTATTTCTTATTAACTCATAAACCCTTTAAATATAATGGGGAGACAATCTACCTCTTCTTAATGTGTAAGTTAAAGGCTATGCAGTGTAGCTTACCTTAAAATACCTTAAAAATATATGAAATTTTAAAGATGATGAAATATAAATAATATAAAATTTACCAATAGTAAATAAGGATTCTTGACCAGTGGGACATAGATCCCCAGAGTCCAGGGGTTAGTAACCTCTAACAATATTTATTAATAAAATTTGACAAATATATTCAGAAAAGTATTTTCCCGGGAAGAGAGTCTACTTAGGCTCATCAAATCTTCAAAAGACTTTATAATTCCCTAAAATGTTAAGAACAAAACCGACAAAGCAGTTATTGGATATCAACAAAACTTTGTTATAAAAATAATACTGAAGAGGGACGCGTGGGTGGCTCAGTCAGTTAAGCGGCTACCTTCGGCCTGGGTCACGATACCAGGGTCCTGAGATCGAGTCCCACATTGGGCTCCTTGCTCAGCAGGGAGCCTGCTTCTCCTTCTCTCTCCCTCTGCTTGTGCTCTGTCAAAAATAATACTGAAGATAAATGGTTCAGTGAGGATTAAGAAGGCATCAAGGAGATATCATATACTTTTACAATGTACATAGGCAGCATCCTTTTTAATAACTTGTTCAGCTACCTGACTTTTATATAAATTAATTTTGCTTCATTTTTACAAGTTCAACCTTCAAATATTTATTGAGTACTAGTATATGTAAATCACTCTGTTCATCTCCTATATCCACTATTTTGAACAATGTGATATTCATTTGAACACAAACTTCTCCCAAAGATTGGAACACTTAAGTATTTTGAAGATACATTGTACATCTAATATGCAGCAAGGAAGGCTCTGTCCACCAAAAGCATCCATCCTATGGAGGTCATCAATATTCCAGAGTGGTAAATGGACCACAAAAAACACCTAAAAATTTTGACCTCAAAATTAGATTCATTGGAAAGGAGGAAATAGTTCTTCATGAGGCTTATACAAAGAAGATGCTTTGACCATTTCTTGACAGTTCCTCTTTTATCAAGGAGGCTGAGTGACTCTAGACCAACTATGAGAAGTATATCTTATGCTTGTGTAAGTTTTCTTACACAGTCATTGAGTGCTATTCCCCCAAACAAGATAGCAATTCTGGGTGAGAACACGGATATTCAAACAGTAGCATCTAATTTTTCTTACCTGAATCAATTCTATGAAAAAAATGGCAATGGTTTCTAAGGTCCCACTGAGCAACCCTGCTTAAGAGTGCAAAATCTCCCTAAAAAAACATGGAATATGCAGCCACAGTATTGATCCTTCAGTAAAAATAGCAATAAGTAAAAGAAGTCTTAAATAAATAAGTTTTGTTGAATACTTCTGATCTGATATTTACTGTTTAGAACAATGTGTTTTTTACAGTTAAATAAAATGATAATATTCTGTCACAAGCAATGTTCTGTCACAAAATTTAGAGCAAGGTGTTTGGGGCCTGAAGCCTGGTTTGAAAATCATTAGCTCTGAGTCCTTGGGCGGTCACTACACCATATCACGTTTTTCAGATAAGTGAGATAATAAGGGGCACCTGGGTGGCTCAGTTGGTTAAGCAACCAGCTCTTGATTTCAGCTCGGGTCATGATCTCAGGGCCCTGAGATCAAGCCCTGCATCAGGCTCCCTCCTGGGTGTAGAGTCCGCTTGAGATTCTCTCTCCCTCTGTTCCTCCCCCTAACTCTCACTCTCTCTCTCTCTCTCAAAATAAATAAAGAAAATCTTAAATAAAACAATGTAAGTGCGATGAGACAACTTGTAGTTTGTGAGAGTTTTAAAATATAATGCATTTAAATGCTTTGCATAGTTAGAATTCGATACTTTACTAGAAGATAAAAAAGAAAATAAAGCTTACCTCCTTAACAGTATACAATGGAAATGTTCTGGGCAGCTACTAAGAGTAGAATTCACGTAAAATTATATGTTCAAAGTTAAGACTATTTTAAAGGTTTGAGTTAATAGTTCTAATACAGATGGC